ATGTTCTGTACATACACCAACTATAGAGGCAGCAAACATTCATCACAAATGGCACCTATCTCAGTCATGTCGCACAAGCACTACCCGCTAAGTTGATCGAGGAACGTCAAGCCGTCTCACGGCTTCATCACCGGACGTTCACAATTCATCAAAAACACCAAAGCCTTTGAAGAAGTCTGTGTGAAACCAGCCAAACAGTTCACAGTGATCGCCTTCGCCGCTGTCTTTGAGCACATCTTCAATCGCCACTGGTCCCGCCGTGCACTCTGGTCCGAAACACCCAGTTCTGCGACACATGTAGCACATTCTCTCCTGCGTAGGACAGCTTTCAGAGCCATGAACAACGTTGCACATGGCACATACTGCTCCCTGATCATGATTTATCTCAGTCAATGCATGCCTTTTACGAACGCGCCGCTTTCGAAAGTTCGGGTCATTCTCTTTGTTGTCGCTCAAAACGTGACCGGCGAGCGTTCCTTCATCTGCTGCCCTACACAGTTCTTCGACTTTGGCCATGGTAAGATTTCGCTGACCGAGCATTAGCTCGCGAAGGCTCGGCATTGTTGGTGCCGAATATCACCTGATCGCGCACCATCACGCCTCGAGTACTCGCCGAAATCGCAGTTGTCGGCCTGGTCCTTGAGCACTTGCAGAAATTTGCAGTGAGACTCGCCGTCGCGTTGCGTCCGGATTCGAAACAGGTACCTCTCGTACAGGTCGTTGGGTCGCTTCAGGCCATCGTCGTCAAGACTGCTGGCGTCCTGAAAGTTCACCCTTCCCGTCCTCTTCGCCTTTGTCACCGGAGCAGGTGGAAGAGGAAGCGCACGAGTCGCGATGTGGCACTATTGGCGGTAGCCTTATGCCATCACCAGCTGATTTGGTATCGGCCACTTCCGGAAGCGCTTCCAGCAGGAACTTCATTTTCATCGAAGCCTCTCGTTATGTGCTGTATCATGGAGACGGGAAACAATTCCATGACGATTGAATCAACCCTCTGCAAGCCGCGTGAGGTTATGTGGCCAACATGGAGCGATGACACCCTGGTTTCATCCAGCGCAGTAAAAGTTTCTCTTGGGGCAGGGACACTGTTATATAAGCTTCGTCCGAAACGGGCCAAGGTTACTCTTCTGGCAGCGTGCGGAACTCGCAACACACGTAACTCTCAGCTCGCGTTCGATTGGTCGGGGAGCCGGAAGCGATTGTTGTAAGGGCTCGAGTCCTCCAATCATGGCCATCTGCGTGATCGCTTTTTTCAAGTGCACTATTCCGAGGCCACAAGAGCGACCTCGCTTCACTAGAAACAAATCTCGAAACGTTATGCCATCACCTTGGGCGAGCATTTCATTCTGCGATTTGATCATAAGAACAGCAGAACAAGACGCAGCAGCATTGACCCGATTGAGCTGATTCCAGACGAAGATCATAATCTCTAAGGACAGCGCTGGCGTCCGAATACACTATCATCAGAGGGGGATATCTCTGGCAATGTCTGCCTAAAAACCAGTTATTTGGACATTCATGCCAGATTTTGCGTTCAGGACTTGGTAAAGTGCACGTGATTTAATTTCAGTGCGAGAAAGGAAGCTGAGAGCGAAATTTTAGTACACAACATTCGTGCAGTATCCTTGAAAAATATCGAGTAGCTTCGGAGCTCATGTAACGCGCATTCAATTGGGTGTTGATTTCTTTACAAGTTAGCATTTCAGTATTCTGTCATTGTAAAGTAGATAATAATGATAATAATAATAACAAGGCAAAATAAATAACTTGTATTACATTTTGTCGTGGTATTCCTCAAGTCATGTATGCTTGACTTAGGCAAACGTAACCATATCTCGCGTTAAGTAGTGCTTTTGACCATAAAGGATACGTTCGCTTCACACGAATCCTGCTTGATTGCTATGTCAAGGAGTGGAAAGCCGTCATATTCAAATCTCGAAGAGAATATTATTCTCGCGGTATACCCATTTCAAGATTCAAAAAAAGATGCTTTAGTAGCATGGTTGTTATACTGCTACAGAGACAAATCAAAACGACTAGAGTCCTCCTTGGAGTGGGAAACCTTTGTAAGTGCAAGAGTATAGTATTCCCAGTACTACAAAATCAATATTCTGTTAGATGCTGGAGTAAGACACTGATACTATGTACCGGACTGGTTTAAATTTCTCCGGCCGCTATCCCGTGTGACCATACGACACCATCATCTGGGAACATTTTGCAACTCCTTTACATCCCTTACTCCTCTTCCCCAGCGTAGGATAGCAAACGGGACGCGCGCCTGGTTGACATTCCCACATTTCCTTCCTTCCTTCCTTCCTTCCTTCCTTCCTTCCTTCCTTCCTTCCTTCCTTCCTTTCTTTCTTTCTTTCTTTCTTCCTTCCTTTCTTCCTTCCTTCCTTCTTTCCTTCCTTTCTTCCTTCCTTCCTTCTTTCCTTCCTTCTTTCCTTCCTTTCTTCCTGTACATCGGCACAAATTCCGCAAACATATCTTCTTTTATCGA